GCATAATTTATACTATTGAGTACTTTAAACAATTGATTACTGCGGGCTGACTTATCGAGTCTGTCTGTGTATATGAGAAAATATTAAATTGTTCTGTTATTATTATCAAAACAAAAATTGGTTACACAAAAAATAATCCTTATTTTTATATATAAAATAAAATTAATATTTAAAAAGTGAAACTTTTTTTTTTGAGAAAGTTAAAGGAAATTCCACGTTTTTAAGGTGCCTTGTTATTAGCTTTTGAAGATTTTGATTATATCATAATTAAGAAACTAATTAAAAAATTATTGTTAAGAAAAGCAATCTTGAAATAATGCAAGAAATGGGTCTTTTAACCATGCTATCATGAGCTTCAGTTAGAGTTGCTTGGCTTGTTCTAAAGACAGGTGAATGATATAAATGCAATATACAAAGTCAAACTTAAAAATAATATTTTTCTAACAACTTATATGAGGATTGTTTGCAAAATTTTCTTGTGCTTTATCATAATTCTTTCAACTTGTTTCTCCTTAATATCTATTTTACTACTCCTAATTTAGTTCTAATTTTTTTTCATCTCTATCCTTTCACTATTTTCTTTGACTTGAGCTGCCTTTTGTTTCTTCTGTGCTTTTGTGGTACTTTTTTGTGTATTATCATCAATTGGGGCATGCTGCAACAAAACCAGACAAAGTGAACATTGGTATTACCAAGGATTTCAGGGATCAAAATTTGTAATGTGATTATAATTTGTTATCTTAAGTGATATATAGAACTACTCCTATATAAAAATAATAACATGAAACTCATTTACATCAGATCTACCATGGAACCCAGGAATTATAGCACTATTAGAAGTATTTTGAAGAAAGAACAAGGTGAAAAAATTGCTCCTTATATTTTCAAATAAAAGAAAGGATTACCTATGAAATTTACCAAGAAGAAAGAAAAATAATAAATGTTGGAAAAAGAAAGCATCATTGTGAACAATTCCCATGGGTTAATTATTTTATTGGTTTATTAAGTAACACATTATGAAATTAGGCTGGTTTGATTTCTTATCCATGTTGGTTTTTCTGATTTCTTTTTGTGCAACCTTCATAAATCATTTCTGATTTATTTATTTTTTTAAATTTCCCATGATTCTTAAATCACTATTTCACAATATCACACCGCATGCAAGCATACACATTAAAGAATCATAAACCTAATTTTGCATACTTTTTATTCGAAACTTTATATAGAACATAACAAATGGTTTATTTCCTTTGCGCTTCAACAATTTCTTTATTTAAAAGTATATACTAGTTCATAACACAACTACATATTGTATGTATTAAAAAAATCGACTAAAATCTCATTGTTTCAATAATAATTTGAGCTGTGTTGTGTAAGGTTTCTGGCCGAAACTCCTTCTATTAGTAGCCGAAATTGCCCAAATACTTTGGGCAAAATTATTTTAAAGTTGTTTAAGTTAAAACAAATTGATTCATATAGTTTTTTAATGTTCATGCTTATAAAAAATGTTGAGAAGCCCAAATTGCCCAAACTAGTTTGGGCTTTGAGAAAACGGTTTGGACCAGAAACCTTAGTGTTGTGGTTGGCAATCTCCTAATAAACTTCAACTCTTCAATCTGTTCAGGTGGTGGTCGATTTTCATAGTCATTTACAATTTCACTAACATATTGCTACAAATACAAAGTGTGATAGAATTTATAAATAAAACTTTATTGTAAAAGTCGATTAAAAATAAAACTTTATTTACCTCCATTATTACAAAATGGGAAAATGTCAATACGATCAAAGGAAAAGATCCTTTATCAATTGCTATTTTGTTTTTAAGACATGGCCATGATCTATATACACCATCATATGCTAAATCAATTTTAAACAATTCTATGGTATCTCCTATATCGAATGAATTTTGTAAATAAAATATTGCAGAAACAACAAATATATAATTATGACAGATATATACCCATATTTAAAAAAGCCATTGATTTGTTGGATCCTCCTTTTTCTAGTAATTTGTTAATTGAATTCTTTCCTTTAAGATGTACTTTTACAAAGTCTTGATCTTTCCTCAACTGAGTGTACCCCAAAGGCTTGATCTCGGAATTTAATATCGCAATGTTATCAACTACACAGCTAAAATCTGGTCTTTGTTTTCCACCTACGCTTTTATTTAATTCCAGGCTGTAAGGTGTGTATTCTCCACCAAAAATAACTTTAATAAATGGATCTAAGTAATAGATACAGTGCTTATTCTCAGTTTCTTTTCATTTTGATGATAATGGAAGCTCATCTTTACTAAAAGAAAAGAAAATTTAGATTATTCCAATATATCCTTTCTTAATTTTTGATCATTTCTGTAATACAATGGCTTAAATGTAATTAAATATACTGCGAGCGTGCAATCCGAGTTACCTAATAAAATAGGTTATTTAACATTCAACACACACTAGGACAGTCCCTCGCCTAGGTTTTACTGTTGATTCTATTGTTTGACACACAGCCTACCCGCTGACTTATGGTCAAAAATTAATAAAATATAACTTTTACCCCTTTGGATAAAAGGTTCCCTAGGTTCTATATATGTGTATTATATCCCAAAGGCGTCCCCTTGAGATGTCTATCAATAATTAAAATGTTTGTTATCTGCTATGGGCAGCAGGTTTCCCCTTGGTGGTTTATTTATTATTTAGAGATTATTATTTGAGGTGAAGTATGTTATGTGTTTTTATTAGCGATAATAATATTATTATTACAATATATATTAATTATCAGATCAATAATTAACAGATTATTATAAACATGATTATTCTGACTTGGTCTGAAACCAAGTCTTTTTATACCTCTTGGGGCATTACAAATAACATGACTTTTACTCTAGTTTGTCCAATAAACTATGCTTATTAATATAAAATAAATATTTAGGTCAACTGAGCATTACAAATAATAATTAGTAATTAAAAGTAAATATTTACATCAGCTGAATAAGTTCTTGAAATATAAATATAGAAATATGAATATGAGTAATTGTATGTGTGATACTGCGCAATGTGTGGCGCAGTAATTCCACGAAATATAATCTTAAAATAAAAATAGAAATGATGTCATTTTCACGTGACTTCCGCAGTAATTCGGTTTGGTTGGATCGGCAACGCGGGACCTCTCTATCGGTCCTTATTTTACTATCTCACAATACGGCTAGTCCTTTCGCCTAATTCATCGTCATTATTTAATATAAAGTTATAGTTTAGACCAAGTGAAAAGTCATTTGTTGCTTTATATAAAGTGGTTAAGAGTGAATCTGTTAAAACGGGCTGCATAATTTTATATGGATTCGAATTAAGAACTTGTAGCCATTCAGAACTTGTAAATGTAGAGTAGGGACAAGGCCAGCACATTACAATTATTGATGATAAGGCCCTAAAATGTAATAGGGTAAATAAATTCAGTGCGTAAATGCAACTATAAATATCTTTAAAGTACTTACAATAGTTCAAATGTATTGTTCCACATCAATTTTCTTTTTTTCTGCCTAACACTTGTTATTAATTGTCTTCGATATTCTTTAAATTTTTTTGAAACATTAACTGTGCCTACATTCCACTAAAATATAAAAATAACACTCAAAACATAACTTATATACAATAAACAGAAATCAAAAGTTCAATTACTGTTGTATATAAGGTTGTGGGCGAAACCTCCTTAGTAATTGCTGAAACCACGGCAAAACTATTAAATCTTATCAAAAATCCTGTTGAAACTATGCCGAAATGGCGAAACCTCAAAATGCGAAACTCTGCCGAAACTCTAATAAACAATTAATGTGTAACCTGCCGAAACCCTGCTGATTGATTTCTGTATGAGTTTTGGCAAGCAACCTTAGTTGTATACCTCACTTAATGAACTGGATGTTATTTGCTGTTCTAATTCCCTTAGTTCATCATATTCAAATTCTATTGTTTCGTTGAGATCATCATTACTGGAAATATTATTTTCCTAATGACATTGTCAATTAACAGAAGCAAAACAATTTATTAAGATTATTTTGATATACACATCCCTAATGAAGATACTTACACTTGATTTGTCCACTTCGTTATTTGAACATTTTCAAGGTGTTGTCTTATCATCAGGACTATCAACATTTGTTAAATTCCGCTAGATCACAATGCATATGATATGTCAGTCATACCTATATAGTAATTAATTGCAACAGCTGAACTGGATAAACTCACCTTTTTTGTATTAGCCTCTTTATCATTCACATCTCGACAACATTTTCCTGATGTTATGTGGTTGTCATTGTATGTAGCACCACTCCCAGTTGCAAGTTGATTTATTTGCTTTACCTGCAGATACCCAATCTTGGCATGTTCACAATCTTGTTTCAAGTTCTTTACCAGTGCAGTCCATTCCTTGGTGAAACAAAATACAATAATTAGAAAAATGAAACATTACACAATGACAAAATCAACAATATAAAACAAAGAAATGTTGGATTAAAAGATCATCCTTGTAAGATGAGCAGTCCCAGCTTGCGCTAAGCGTCGAACAAGCAATTCATCACTAGAGACGAGCAATCCTAGCTTGCACTTAGCATCGAACGAGCAGTTCATAACTGTTCAGATCAATCTCTTAATCCATTCAAATTCTATTCCTGCTAAATGAATATACCTTCCATTTGTCAAGGATTTCTTGAGTTTTTCCTTCTTTTACTGTATCAAATGAATTAGAATCTTCCACTTCCTGAAGGTCTTTTTTAATGCAGTCCAAAAATTGCTTCCTATCCTTATGTTTCATTTTCGAACGATAATATTCTATTAAATTTGTGCACGTCCAATTCTCGATTGCATTTGCTTGGTAAAAGTCCATGACACGTTTGTAACACATAAAAGTTATTTTTTATTATTATGTATAAGTCTGTAGCCAATCAGATCGCCTATTTCCCGATATAAATATATGGGGATGCTGCAACAAAACCAGACAAAGTGAACATTGGTCTTACAAGGATTTCAGGGATCAAATTTAATCATCATTATTAATTGTATTTATAATTTTTTATTTTAAGCTAACAATCAATTTGTCATTATTATAACAAATAAAGGCATATTTAAAATGAAATTGTTAAAAACAACTAAAAAATTAGATATATATTAATTAACAGATAATCTCAATATCCATAGCCTCAGATTACTAAATATTCAATGTTTACCTACTTAATTATTAAAAATCTAAACTAAGCAAGAAAGATTAACTTTTTATAATAAAAACTTATTATTTAGACAACAC